GGGTCGGCGGATTTGCACCAACAGATCCTCTTGGGCATGGTTGGCCGTGCAGGAGTATGGGTCACCCTGACCCCCACGCTCGGGCTGTTCATTCACGACCCGAATGCGATCAGGCATGTGGTGCTCACTTGCGACCAAAAGTGACTTGCGTATTTGAAAAATACGGTCTTCGGATTCGATCCGATGTCGATCGTGGAGTTGAACCAGTTCGTGCAGCAGGCCCGTGTGCAGGCTCGCGTGCTGGCCGACGACGACCAGGCTGCAGAGGCGCCCGATATGGTGTGGTTTCGTGAGGGTCCTGGAGTTGGAAGGTGGCGAGGTCATCCCAGCCAAAGTCACCGACGACGACGAGCGTTTCGCCAAGATCGGGGACTCGGCCCTTGCCGAGGTCGGCGGCTTGGTGGTGTGGGCTGCTCGCGTGAACGTGGGTGAGAAGGCCACGTGGGTGAAGCAGCGGCAGACATCCGAGCGAGACGATCGTATTGTGGGTGTGCACCTTCGCACCTATAAGAGGTAACTTCCCCTTCGTGAAGCGCTCGGTCTCATCTCTCAGCCAGAAAACGGTGACTGGGCCTTCACAGGCCCCCGCCTCGCCGCCGAGTACCTCGTCATAGTTGACCAGGCTGGAGGTTTCTATGCGCACGACGCAGGGGTCGTCCGAGTCAGGCGTCTTCGCGGGATCGGCCGCATCTGCTCAGCACAGGTCAGGTTCGGAGACGCTGCGGCTGCTAGTGGAATTCGACCATGTCCATGCGTCCAAGTTGCAGGGGGTGGAAAGCCTCTGCCGACGTCAGGTGCAGCGTGAGATCGCAGTGGAGCGCAGCTCGGCACGCCCCGATTTCTCTGGGCTTGAGGAAGGCATGGGCGGTGTCACCACATCCAGCGGGACCGCCAGCGCGGCCAACTTCAGGGAGTGGGTCCCGGGCCGCCAGAATGACCGCGCGACGGTGCTCAAGCAGACCTTGTCGGAGCGCGAGGAACGGGCCTACGCCGGGAAGGGCGCTGGCAAGTCCGGGCCTGAGCCCAAGGGGAAGGCAAAGGCCAAGGCAGAGGCAGGCGCGAGCGGTGGCGGCGGTGCCGCCGCCGCAGACACATGATGCTGCTTCGGGACATTGTCTCCGCGACGTTGCCCGCGCCGCTGGAGAGGGAGGTCGTGCCCCTCCGCTGGGAGCGGCTCGTCAGGCTGCTCTTCGGCGCTGTCTGCACGATCGTCGTCATGGCGAACCTTTCTCTCATCATCGAGTCTCTCCTTCCGTCTCTGCGGGGTTCGGGAATGGCCCGCGCTACATTCGACAGCGACGAGCCAGACAGGTCTTTCGGTATGAGCAAGTGAATGAGGCTTCCGAAACGTTGAATCACCTTGCTGCCTGGACCACTCGCCCCTCTGGGCCCATCTTCGACAATTTCGGCAAGAGGGCGTATGCCGCGTTGCGGCGAGCGGTGCTGCATCGGCCACGCCAGCGCATTGCGTCTTGCGGCAGGCCCCTTCCTGACCTGAGCGGGAAGCGAGCCCTCGAGGAGCTCCTGGCGTCGATGCACCAGTGCGGACTGGAGCCAGCGAGCCTGGCGCCATATGATTTCGCCAAGCTGAAGGTCATCCGCGGGGGTCTGACACCCCGCTTTCCAGCAGCCGGCCTCTTGGCCGAGGCCGCGCAGATCCTTCGGCGCTGTGGTGCGCAGATCGTTCGCGCTGGCGGAGACGCCAGCTCTGGCCTCCTTCGGGTGGGGCGTGGCTGGCTTCAAGACTTCCAGGAGGGAAAAAACACACACAGACACAATTAATCGTCGACCCCCAGGCAAAAATAGGAAAATATGGGAAGTGGGGGGAAGAAAAGAACCCAGAAAATATTAGAAAATATGGGGAATCTGGTTATTTGTGCGTATTTATTTGTCTGTCCCAGGGCCCCTTCAAAGAAGGCCGTGGCCGATTTTTGTGGCGTGGGCTCGGCAGCGCCCTCTGCCGACCTCCCCTCTGGGCGCTCTTGCCGGGACCGTGGGCCGCTCGCTACCTGGGTACCATGGCGCTCGCCGCCGGGTGCAGTCCTGCTGCAGGCCGCAGCGTCCAGTTCGAGTGTCTCCAGCTCAACGTCGACAGCTGCACGGAAGCGCTCAGCTCGCGAGGAGGTGCTGTCCGTCCGAGATCCCGGGCCTTCGCTGCGGCGATCTGGTCGCCCCTGCTGTTTGCGCGGCGCCGGCATGCCGCAAGTGGGCCGCGGTGTTCGGCTCATCCGACCGCGGCCGCCGCGCGAAGACGGGCAACATCGACGAGCATGTTATTTGCGGCTCCCCAGTCCGCGAGTGGGTGGTCAATGTCTTGTCCCTGGTGCGTCGCAGTGTACCATCGGACGCCCTGCTATTTCCTTACCTCACACTGGTCAGGTACGAGTGTGAG